ATATGGTTTACTTATTTTGGTTTTGTAAAATAATTTATTTTTCTCCATTTTTGTACTTGCAACACTTTGATTTATGGACTATTCATATACTCTACTTTGACTAGCTTTGATAATTCATAATTAAAGAAAGATACAGTGTAACAGTGATGTGGGATCTTGTTAGATCCACCTCGATTTATACTTTCATATTATATATTTTTCTTAAATTATACATATTGGTAATCAATGATGATTAATGATTGGAATAATGTATTGACAACCGTGAACTGAGAAGTGTTGCAAGAAAAAAATAAAAAATAAAAAAAAGGAAGTTTTATTATAATAATTGGATAATGAAATTGAAAGTAACTGCTTGGCACATTCCTGAATATATGTTTAATAACTGCAGAAGGCTGAAAACAGCACCTTATCTTTGGGCGAGATGCTCTTGAAGGCAAGGAGCTTGTTTCCCGAGAGTTATTGGTATTGGATCGGTGCTGGTGCATTATTAGGATATATGATTCTTTTCAACATCCTGTTGACGCTTTTCTTGACATACTTGAACCGTAAGTTGAACATCTTCTAACCTTAGTGCCATTTATGATGTGTCTAGAGTGAGCTAGACAAAATTTCATCTCTAAGGCATGATTCCGTAGATGTGCTAAAATTCCAAATATGCATGTCTGTGATTTATAATACTAACTGGCAGTAAGAAATAACATTTTTGTAAAATGTTCAATGAAGCCCTTGGGATACATCAAGCTGTCATTTCAAAGGATAAGCATCAACATCAAAACCAGGAAGAGGAGCAAGAAATTTCTGCTATTGAATTAGGAGATTTTTTGCAGCAATCATTCTCATTTACTGGTCAGTCTTGCTCCGTATATATTCTCTGCTTCAATATTCTATATCTTATTCATTGCTTGCATTTTTCCTGTGTTGCAGGAAGAGATATGAAAAAGAGAGGCATGGTTCTTCCATTTCAACCTCTTTCTATGGCTTTTAGAAACATCAGTTACTATGTAGACGTCCCTGTGGTATAACCATTCTTTTCTCCGTAACTAATGATGCCCTTACATTTTCCTCTTTAGGACACAGCCTTTATTGTTTTATTTATTTATTGTTTTATTTATTCTTGCAGGAACTTAAACAGCAAGGTGTAACTAGGGACAAGCTGCAGCTGTTGGATGACATCACCGGAGCATTTAGACCAGGAATCCTCACTGCATTGGTTGGTGTAAGTGGTGCTGGGAAAACAACTCTCATGGATGTTCTATCAGGAAGAAAAACTGGTGGAACTATAAAAGGGAGTATATACATTGATGGTTACCCTAAAAAGCAAGAAACATTTGCAAGGATTTCTGGTTACTGTGAACAGTTCGACAATCATTCCCCGTGCTTAACAGTGCGTGAATCATTGCTTTTTTCTGCTTGGCTCCGGCTTCCTTTGCATGCTGACCAAATAACACAGAGGGTGAGATTCAATTCTAAGAGAATTTTCTATTAAGCATGCCAAACTGCACAAAACAACTCATTACTGTTGACAACCTTTTTGTCTAATATGGTGTTTGAATGACTTACTGGTGTGATGTGCAGAGATTTGTGGATGAAGTTATGGAACTTGTGGAGCTAACCTCATTAAGTGGAGCTTTAGTTGGGATACCTGGTGTTGATGGACTATCCACTGAGCAAAGAAAACGGTTGACAATTGCTGTTGAACTTGTAGCAAATCCTTCTATTGTATTCATGGATGAACCCACTTCAGGGCTTGATGCCAGAGCTGCTGCTATTGTCATGAGAACAGTACGAAATATTGTTGACACAGAGAGGACAATTGTTTGCACTATCCATCAACCCAGCATAGATATTTTTGAATCCTTCGATGAGGTCTCTGGTTTCTCTTCTTATGCTCACTCTTTTCTTTGTCTTCCTTGTCTACTTATGATCTTAGGTCAATTATTCCGAGTCTAATTTATGCAAATCTTAGAACATACAAGGAAAAATAAATGTTTGCTTTGATAGAAATGTTGAAACCAATAATTGATGTTGTCAACAACTGTCTATTGCTCCGATGAAGATTGTAGTTGGGGTTTCATGATATCTTAGGAAATTCTGGCTGTTTATCCACTTGAATTTTTCTTAGATAGCCTTGTTCAAAATTTAGTATAAACTCAAAAGTGTTGCTGTATTTGAATTGATTTTTTATTCTAGACTCGGCCTCACTCTTCTGGATATCTTATAGTCTCTAGATCAATATTACTAATATGTAGTCAAAATTGAAAGTGAGTAAGCTTCTTGTGGCAAGTTTTGTCACCTAATTTTTTGTAGTCACTTGCAGCTCATTTTGATGAAATATGGAGGCAAATTGATTTATGCTGGACCTCTTGGGAACAGATCTCGTGAGCTCATCAAGTATTTTGAGGTAAAGTTAACTTATTTGTCATTTAATGTACCAATTGGGTTTCAAGCATCTGTAAGTATGGCATGCTTATTTCTTGTGTTGCCTTCATTTCAATAGGCCGTTCAAGGAGTTCCCAGAATCCAACCTGGCTACAACCCTGCTGCCTGGATTCTGGATGTATCATCTCCTGCAGAAGAAAGTCGCCTAGGAATTGACTTTGCAGAAGTTTATCAATCTTCACCTCTGTTTTGGTGAGTGAAAATAATCCTGCCTGATTATTCTTAAGATGATTTTCCTCATATTTACCATTTATTATTATCATATTTGAAACATTTTTGTGTTTCAGGCGAAACAAACAAATGGTTGAACGTCTCAGCAAACCTGACTTGGATTCTCTGGAACTGTGCTTCCCTACTGAATACTCTCGGTCGTTCTTCTCTCAGTTTTTAGCTTGTCTCTGGAAACAAAATCTCTCCTACTGGAGAAACCCACAGTACACTGCTGTTCGCTTTTTCTACACCATCATCATCTCATTAATGTTTGGAACAATGTGTTGGAAGTTTGGTTCGAAAAGGTTTATTCCACTTTGATTTTAACATTGTTGTGCACGATATTCATATGTACATTTGGTAAAAATTGGATTGTTTTTTGCAGGGATACTCAACAAGATATATCAAATGCCATGGGATCAATGTATGCAGCAGTTCTTTTTATTGGAATTACAAATGCCACAGCTGTGCAACCAGTTGTCTCGGTTGAACGATTTGTTTCATACAGAGAGAGAGCAGCAAGGATGTATTCTCCTCTAGCATTTGCATTTTCCCAGGTGTGCAGTCTTCCATTATTCTACATTGTTTTGTAAATTTCTTGCATGTATTTGATCAAATAACACAATGGTATCTTTCAAATCACACACACACACACACACACACATTGGTAAAGTAAAAATCACGTTTAATTAGTAAAATTATTTCCAGTTAATACAAAAAGGATGAGGAGTGGAGAGCATAAGTTAAGGAGAAAAAGCTCATATTCATTTTGAAACAGGTAGCAATTGAGTTCCCGTATGTATTCGCACAATCAGTCATCTACAGTGGCATCTTCTACTATATGGCATCATTCGAGTGGAGTTTCATGAAGTTTTTCTGCTACTTGTACTTCATGTATTTCACATTATTGTACTTCACCTTCTTTGGGATGATGAGTATTGCAGTTACACCTAACCACAATGCTGCTGCCATCGTTTCCGCTCCATTTTACATGATGTGGAATCTCTTCAGTGGATTCATGATCCCCCAGATGGTAATACTTATTCACATATTACTGTTAAATCTTACTTTTTGTTAAAGGTGTAGAAGAACCATTTGCATCATCTCTGGTCCAGTACCTATGAATTTGAGAGCATAGCCATGTGATATTAGTTACAAAAAGATAAATAAGCCACTGAAATCCCCGGATTTCTCATATGGGGATCAAACATGAATGTTCCATGTGGCTTCACATAATATCATATGCATCAGAAAACTTTGAAATGTGCAAGTAGTGTCATGATTTAAGTGTTCTTGAGCCTTGACTTTGAACTTTCAATATGTATGCTAGCAAGTTCCTATATGCTTAATTATAGGAGCATGTGATAAAAGAAGAGAATCTATTGTCAGTTTTTGGTCCTTTTGGATGTATATGTTGGTTTCAGTGCTGCATTTCTGTAAGTTGATATGATGATGACCTTGACCTGAGTTTTGTTTTGTATATCTGCAATGTTTGGTTATGAAATCAAAACTAACACTTTCTTCTTGATCCAGAGGATCCCGGTGTGGTGGAGGTGGTATTATTGGGCAAATCCGATAGCATGGAGTTTATATGGCCTTCTAACATCTCAATACGGGACCATAGATGACCCAGTGATGCTCGCAGATGGTATTCGATCAGTGCCTGTGAGGCAGTTGCTAAAAGATCAATATGGGTACAGGCATGATTTTCTGGTTATTGCTGCAATCGTTGTACCCAGTTTCTGTGTGGTCTTTGCCATCACTTTTGGTTTCGCCATTAAATCCTTTAACTTCCAAAGGAGATGAAGGAGATTAACTTTCCCAAGAAAGATCAAGATATTATTGTTCTTGGTTGTAATTACATGTATGTGACTAACAGGTCTGACACATTAATAAACTGTACTTGTTACGACCCCTCCTTGTCAACAAGGAATGGAGGGAAGATTTATTTATAACTTTTAATTGAACCAATATTAACACTACATATAAAAAGTTTCATTCAATTTATACAATTTATATGCTAATATAAGTGGAGCTTTTCTATTTCTAGGCTTAAAGATTGACACCAAGAACATTTCCCCTGTGAGAAGATGCACAAGGTCAAATTAAATCATGTTTTAGATCATATTGAACAAAAAGAATTGTTTTCAAAATGACTCTTAAATATCTAAATACAAATAAGAATGTTGTTTTTTTAACTTGTAACCACACTCCTCCTAACATTTATATATCTCGTACATTAACACGGGTACAATCTAGGTTAAAACTCTTGAATTTTTTAATCTAGATAAAGTAATCAACCACATTTTACAATGTAGTTCTCCATAGTATAAATGTGTGAGATACGAGCAACTCGGGCAACACACCAGCTTTGGTACTTAATTTTATGAGTATAGTATAAAAAATACGTCTAACTATAAATAAGATTTCTAACGAACTTCAACGGTAATCTGGAAGCTGGCGGGAATTCATGAATACAGAATGTCTCCATTTCTCATCTTTCTCTCTCCTAAATTAATCCGTTTCATCTCAAATTCAAACCCAAAAATCCCTAATTTCACCCCTAAATTACCCTTTAATTCATCGTCATTTTGCAATCAAGCTAAATTCGTAATACCCAGGTTCCAATTTCTTCATTCTATCTCCTGTCCGATAAACCCTAACCCTAATTTTTCAGAGAGGGATTTCAATACTCTCTGCACCATCCTCAAAAATCCCGATTTTTTTACCAGTTCAGACTTTGAAAATGCTCTTCAAGAAGCTAAAGTTGAACCCTCTTCGTCTTTATTGCTGGCAATCTTCAAGAAGTTTGATTCGTCGCCGAATCGGGTTTTCTCAGTCTTCAAATGGTTAGATAATCAACCTGGGTATCATATTTCTGCTCCAATCTTTAATTCAATGGTAAATATCCTTGCAAAATTAGGTGAATTTAAGTGGGTATTGATGATTATGATGGATAAGATTAAGAGGGGTGATGGGTCTGAATTAGTTTCTGCTGAAAATTTAGGGGTTTTGATTAGACAATATGCTCGTTTAGGTAAAGTATTAAATGCTATTCATGTGTTTGATTTTGCTAATACTTTGGAAATTGATGTGTTTGAATTGTTGTTAAATGCTTTGTGTAGACATGGTCATGTTAGGGTGGCTTCTGATCTTATAGACAGGAAAATGTGTTTGGATCCCAGTTGGGTTCCGTCGATTACTGTGTATAATATGCTACTCGAAGGGTGGTTTCGAGTGCAGAACATAAAACAGGTGGAGCGGCTTTGGTTGCGAATGAGGGGAGAGGAATTGGTTCCGGAGGTTGTTACTTATGGTATAGTTGTTGATGGTTATTGTAAGATGGGTTTAGTTGATAGGGCACTAGAGCTAGTCGGTGACATGAGGAAAGATGGTGTTTCTCCTAACAAGGCGGTGTATGATCCTTTGGTGGATGCATTAGTAGAAGCAGGAAGGTTGAAGGAGGCCTTAGGGGTGTTGGAGAGGTTTCTAGTTCTAGAGGCAGGTCCAACTTTTTCGACCTATAATTCATTGATTAGAGGGTTTTGTAAGGCAGGGGATCTCATCGGGGCAGGTAAGATTCTTAGGATGATGATTAGTAGAGATGTTGTGCCCACTGCTATGACATATAACTGGTTCTTTAGGTATTTCTTAAAACATGGGAAAGTCGAAGAGGGACTGAATCTGTATAGAAAGATGATAGAGTCTGGTTATGAGCCGGATGGTCTGACATTTCACTTGTTATTTAAGATGATGTGTGAGGAAGAGAGGTTGGAATTGGCTTTGCAAATAAGGAAGGATATGAGGTCTAAGGGTTATGTTTTAGACTCGGATTTAAGCACTGTGTTGATTGACTCGCTGTGTAAAATGAATAAATTGGAGGAAGCAGTGGTGGAATTTGAGGAATTGATCCAAAGAGGCCGTGTTCCCAAGTATCTTACTTACCAGAATCTGCATTGTGAGCTCAAACAGAAGGGATTACATGACATGGCTCTGAAAATTTCGGAATTAGTGGCTACTATTCGGTCCTCAACAACTTTGCCAAATGAATTTGAAGCTGTGGACACCGTCCATGATAGGAGAAAATCCATCATCCAAAAAGCCAAGGATATGTCCAATGTACTGAAGAAATGCTCAGACCGTGGGGGATCAGCCAATCGCGGAAGGTCTTGTAAGATGTCTTCAGTCGGCAAGAGAAGAAAACTAAAGAAATGCTGAATTAAATTTTGAAATGTAAGGCTGGATTTGCTTGTTACTTGTGTGTTATATTTCGAGCATTCACTACTATCTCGTTCCCAAAGAGGCAAACCTGAACTTTGTGTGATATACAGATCTTTTCAAATCGAGCATGTCAAACAGTTCAAAAGCAGTGAATTATTACTTACATAGAACCAAAGTTCAATCCGGGAGAAATACAAAGCATCATCACATTGTTTTTCATAAGCTAAGAGTGCTAAGTCAACAAAGGTGTAGTTTTTGGGAAAGGAAATTAAGAATGTTTATAGGTATTTGTCATGCAAAGTATAAATGTACAAGAAAATATTATTCAAGGGAATAAATGAAATAAGCTAAAAGGTCTACTTTACTTAGATGGCCTAGCCGGGGTGTTTGGTTTGTGGGATAAAAAGGTGCGTGTTTTTTCCTGTTTGATATGGAGTATGAGTTGGGAATAAGATTGAGATAAATGACAAAGTTGATTAAATATCCGTGCAATATCGTGTCATTCGTGTGCATGGTCAAGCGGTTCTAGCCTGTATTTGCATATTTGCATGATACAAATGATTCCAATAATTTCATTTTTCATGGGGAAACAAAACGGTAAAAAGGCTAAAAACTTTTGGAATTTCAAAAACACCCATTCCCTATAAATTCCATTCATGGCTCAACTTCTATAAACCCAATCACTTTCTACATATCTCACCTTGACTCTTCCATATAAGAGCAAGGTTTTGCTGCACTTTACTTGGAACCACGAGTAGACGGCCTCGGTGCCGACTGGGGACGGCCTCAGCAGCACCGCCCACTGGCACTGCCTCTTAACTCTTAAGGACTAAGCTCAGTAAGTCATTTTCTTACATCACATATTCACATAGTTTGTGTTTCATTTTCATAATTAGTGTATATTATAGGTATTATTTTATTAGTAATCGAGTTATATCTCATTATGAAATTGAATTACGATTATTACTATCAGTCAGTTTGTGTAGTATGCTTAACGTGAAAAAAAAAAACAACAGAGATGATTGCTTATGGAAATAATCAGTGTCGTCTTGGACATTTTTGTGGCTCGGATAGAAAATTAAATAATGCTCCTTACAATGAAGTTGTGTTTTATAAGTAATACATCGATGAAATTCTTTAAGAATTTTATATTAAAAATAATATTATCAAAATTACGAATATATTAGTCATCAAAAGCTTAAACTAACACCTAAAAATCTAAAATAAATAATACCTCTGTTTATTTAATTTGTGACAATTTGATATAAAGTGTGAGTGAAAAATGTCTAGTAGTGCAAATAATATGAGGCAACACTACTATAATTTTCAATCTCCGCTCTGTTTACTACTCTGTATGTTTTATAAATATTTTCATTGGTCTAGTGATAACATATTTCTATGTCACTACTTTGATCCCGACTAGAGGCACTTAATAGGCGTATTACCTCCCCCCCCCCCCCCTCCCTCTCCCTCTCCCACTCTTACGGAACCTAGGATGTTTAGCTGGGTTAAGGCTGACTTGTGCGCGGTTTTGGTCTATTGGGGCACCTCTTATTTAATATTTTATGACTTAGCATGTTAAAACTATTTTAATTATGAGTAGGTGCACCCTTCCTGTTTTTAACTGTTGTTCTGTTTTCTTATTTTGTGCAGATTCTGTCTTCATCTGTGAGTATCACTCAGTATTATTACCTTTGGTTCTGGTTTGTGATAATGGCTAATACTCCTTCGGCTCCCTATTTGCCTTACCATGCTACTGATCTTGCTCCTGAGCTGCGCCGAATTTTGGAGCCTCTTCGAGTTCAGACCTTCCAGATTGATGGCTGGACTAAAGAGGAGCTGATCCAGAGCTTCCTTACTGTCAAGGGTTTCATTAAGGCCGTTGAACACTTTACTCTGATTCCTGATGAGTCTGTGCGACGTTGTGCTCACGGCTATCACCAAGAAGAATATGTTCCGGTCTGCTGACTTGTGCACCTGCAGACAGTTTTACCGGTTTTGCATTTGGTTAAAGACTTCAGAAGGTAGGGATGTTCTGAATGCTGCATGGAACACTCGCAAGCTCGAGAAGCAAGCCCGTCCTGGAAAATCTGTAGTCGATGTTGCCCAGCTTAAGCAGGCCGTCAAGGAGGCTAAGGCCAAGTGTAATGCTAAAATTCTAGAGCTTCAGAAGCTGTTCGATTCTATGGAGGATGAACTCCACAACACACCTATTTTTTAGCATCTTTCTTGCATCTATGTTTTGGTTATTACTACAAGTAGATATTTGAATGGTAGTAACGAAAAGACTCGAGAAATTGTAAATTATGTTTTGGTGTTACGACTTTTTCATTGCAATTATTCTTGTGTTTATGGTTCTTTTTTTAAAGTTAAAATTAAGTTCAATTATTGACATAAACTTGATACTGTGATTAAAAACAAACCTCATTTAACTTTTTCACTCAATTGATCAAATATTTCCTCCATTGCCTTTAGCATCATGTGTATCAAGTACCATAACCCGAGACCTATCATAGGTCCACCAAACCCGTGTTCCTAAAACACTTGTTATTGGTTGATGAGTATGATAGCTTTTCCTATTTGTATTGTTGTACTAAATTCTAATATTGTGTATAGACAATAGAGTAATTACATACTTTGTGTTTTGTCATTAATACTATAATGTCAAGTTCGTATCAATAATCAAAACCCGCTTAAAATTAAGAGCGTCGTCACGGTATTGCAACCGTAGATCACAACATAACCCCAGTGACCACAGTAGTAGACATCAAAGAACAGCAACTTTGCCTTTATAACACTTGACTACTTGGACTCATCTCTTTCTATCTCTCTACTTCGTCACTCTCTTCTGGGTTCACTCTCTTTGAGTCTTTGCCCTTTTACATCACATCAAATCAACCCCTTCTCTTTCTCTCTCTAAATTTTCTCTCTCTACAATTTCTGTATTAATTATGGGAGGATGAACATGAAATGCCAACAATGGCGATGATGGTGACAGGTGACCCCACTAAAATCACCGCTTCTGACAGCAACCCAACACCAACACAAACTCCTGCTGCTGTTTTTCATGACTTTCTTGGTGGTAAAGCTCCCACCTTTCCCGCTGTCTCTCTTCCTCTCTCTGTTATTCTTCCATCTTTTGGTTTTAATTTTTTAAATTTTGATTTATTGGCATTTTGCAGATTTTGATGTTTCTAGATTTTTTTAGCTTAATTTCTGCTTCTGTATGCTATTTGTTGAATGCATTTTGGTGGGCATTTTGCAGAATTTGTTATTTCTAGAGTTTTTTTGGCTTAATTTCTGTTTCTATCTGCTACTGTATTTATTGAATGCATTTGGTGGGCAATTTCAGATTTTGATATTTCTTGATTTTTGTAGTTTAATTTCTGTTTCTATCTGCTATTTGTTGAATGTATTCTGTTGGGTATGTTGCAGAATTTTATCTTTTATTGATTTCATCTTTAGTTAGCTTGATTTCATTTTTCCTGCTATTTGTTGAATGCATTTTTGTGGGCATTTTTTTTACATTTTGATTTCTGTTTTCAACTTGGTTTATGGGCGTTTTTCTGTATTTTTAAGAAATTTGAAGTTAATTTATGGCTCTACATTGTTTAAAATTTTGTCCCTTTTAAATTCAAGAAATTATAGTACTTGCTTGTTGTTCCTCTAAATAGTGTATTTATTATAATCCGATTTCAAGCTGAGAGACCTTGTTTTATACCAGTGTCAAGTTTTGGATCACTATGATGTATAATACTCCATTCATCTAAATTTAGTTGTCACATTACTAGTTCGAAGTTCGAATTTTCAATGTGCCTATTAGTTCCAGACAAATAGATTGAGTAATGTGGTTGGTTGTTGGTAGCTACCCCACCCTTAAAAAAGAGGTATGTGATTTGTGCACTTGGTTGATGTCGTCTCTTGGGACTGTTTTCTTTTGGTAAGCTGAGGTATATTGAATATGTGCACAAATTAAAAAGTGGGTGGCCTTTGATTTTTTTCAATAACTTGGGCACTATCATTGTTTTCTAAGATAACTGAATTAGATTCCCACTATCAATGGCAGAGAAACAGGCGGGTAGTCAGTTGGAGAGAATTTCAAGTTATGGTCCAAAAAGTGATCTATCCGTGTCTGAGGTAAGTAATAGGTTTGTGGGAAGCAAGCGGAGTCATTCGGATTCTGGTTTTACCGGATCTTCAAGAGAGGGAATTCCACAAATGATTCCTGAGAGTTCTCATGTGATGAAGGTATATGTCGTCATTTCTTTGTTCGAAATGTATACAAATACCTATCTTATTGCTCCAATTTATGTGAATATATGCCTATGTTTGAATCCAGATGCTTTGTAGTGCAAGTGGTGGGGATAGACTCAAATTTTCACCTTTTGACGGGCCTCTTCATGGTGTACCTCAAAATATTAGGCCACTATCTTCTTTTGTGTCTCAGACAACTAATGCCAATTTTGTGAACTCTGAGAGGCTGAATCCGATGAATGTTGGAGGGAGTAGCATGCAGTATAATGCTTGTGTCATGAAGTCTTCTCCTCTCATGTATCAAGCACCCTTAAGCAGATTGAGGGATATCAGCTCTGGTCCACCAGTCTTGTCTCAGCTGGCTGCGGATGAAGGGTCTAGAACTGGGAATAAAGGCTCTGGTATCTTCAATTCGATCACTGCTGGTAGCAATCCAGTTACTGAGAGAAACCCTTCCGGGTTGCTTCCAAGTGGTTGCAACATAAAGCCTGCTACTCATATTTCTGATCCAGAACCATCTAACCCTCCAATGTAAGGGGAAAAGCCTTTTTACTTTCTCATTCAATCTTTAATCGTGTTTTGTCACCTTCCACTTTTGTATCATGCATATTTATTTGATAATTGCAGTTCACGGGGACTAAGTACGTCTGGCAGCAGACAAATGACTATAATCTATGGTGGTCAAGTCCATGTATTCGATGATGTTAATCCAAACAAGGTTTGTGACCATTTCTTTGCTTAAAATGGGTTACGTTCTTCAGTAAACTATTCTGGTTATGAGAATGTATTCAGTACACTAATAACAGTAACTATCATCAATTAATAGGACATAAAATTGTTGGTGCCCTATAGCTATTTAATGAACTTGCAAAGTGATTCAATTTTTCTTAGCAGTACCTATTTAGACTTCGGAAAGTGTACAAGCTTTGAGGAAGATTAACCGTCTTTGAGGTTAGGGAAAAATGTTCTTTTTTATTCAATGAGTATTGTAAGAGTATTTGCATAGGAAAACCTTGTTGCGGAGACGTGGACTTGATGTGTGCGCTGTAGAGCTGCTGAATTTAATGTGTTTTTGCTGTTGTGATGATGTTAATGTTGACACTCATGCTGCTGCATGTATATGCAGTAAATTTTTATTAATTCTTTGATGTACAGTTGGACAAGTATTGAGTGTAAACTTTGAAATGAAAATGTATTTCTATACCGTTGAGAATCATAGATTAGCTTTTGATTTACATGTGTCAAATACTTTAAAAGAAAGACACTTTTGGGGAGTCTAATTCACCAATTATCCGCTATTCAGAGAAGGAAATCTTTTCATTTCAACCTTCTATTCCATTTATTAGGTAAAATAATCCTGCTTTTCTTCTTTGTAATTTTTATAAAGATAATTATAATTACCAGAAGATGAAATGATGGAGGTTTGGAATTAATATGCTTGCAGTTGAATGAAACGTTAAGCTTAAATCTTCACTACTTCAGGGTTCAAACATTGGGTTTCATCTATCAAAATCAATTGCCTATGCAAAAAACCAATTTGTGAATTGCCTTCTCTGTCTGACGTGGTGGATGCTTTTTCTTGTAAACAAAGTTGTTGCACATAATATTTCTCCAAATTCTTAGCTTGCAGGGTGTTGGGAATTTTGTCTATTCATACCTTATTATGCTACAATTTTTATGTCGTTGGAAGGTTCGGATTTTATACAAAGACGTTAGAAATATGGAATTCCTAGTCTTTTCTTTTTTTTTGTACTTCTGCGTCTTTATTGTTGTTTAGGTCTTATTCTTCTCACCTTGAAACTTTTTTTTTTAATTTCGCTTGCAAGATCATAATAATTCATACAAGTTCAGTTAGTTTAGTATCGGTAAGTTTTACCCAGAGTAAAGAAAACAAGCCTCCGGTGGCATAGCCGCATAGGAACAAGTGTTCTTGTTGTATCTAATATTCTAATCTACTATAGTTTTATTCTTCCTTTCTTTAAATTGGATATCACAGTTCATAAGTAGATAGCACGTGTAATGTTGTATGGATACGAGGAATTAGTAGATGAAAAAGTAATGTACTTTTCTTTGTTTGTATGCTTTCAATTGATGAAAACATTTGACTCCAGAAGATTCCAGAATCTGGGGTGAGGTGCTCTGCTATCCCTATAGAGAAGTATGACAGACGTCTTACAATCGATTCATTATTTTCTTTTTATTCTAGTGTAATGGTTTTAGAAAGTGCTGTTGTCCCTTGTAGATGTTATCGAATTTGGATATAGGAAAAGTCAATGTCATTTGTCTGCAAAAATGCGTAAAAATAGTCTGTGGATCTAATCTGAGTGAAATAAGTCCTTCGTCCCATAAGAACTATACACTGGGGAATTGCGGGGTGGTTGAGGAGAGTGAAAAAGTTGAGACAAAAAGTGGATAGGTGGGTGTGGGGCGCAACTCTAGAGAAACATTAGAGAGAAAGCGTTTAGTATATGAGAGATAATATAGATTGATATGGCCAATCCGAAGTAGTTTAATGGGGCAGAGGTGGTAGAAAGGTAGAAATGTTTCATTTCTTCCCCAGAGCTTTAAAAGTGATAAATTGAGAAATTGAGAAAGGAAAAACAATTTATATGCGAAGGACATTACCACATTGCATTCATATGATAGTATGGTTGATGGTTATGTTGTCAATTTGTGTCAGAGGCCTGTATAATTGCTTCAGCTGATGGTTTGCTTGTGATAATTTGTTACAGGCAGATGTTATCATGGCTATGGCCGGATCAAATGGAGGATCTTGGTCGACTAATTTACCGAAAGCTTCACCCAGGACAACCACAAACGAATATTATTTACCCAGCGGAGAGCATGAAACAAATCCACCTGCTGACCGTTCTTTTGTGCAGAAGTATCGCAACCTATTATCAGTCGGTGCAAATTCCATCCATGGATTGGACCCTATCAACCAAGGTAATTATGTTAAGTTTTCATTAAGCTGAAGATTGTTCAAATGTAGGTTTATTTGCTGTGTACAAGGCCTATCTTTGATGATTTGGTTTGGTATTATTGTGGCAATCGGTTCAAATTGGCTTTGCTTCAATATGTTCACCGTTTCTAATTTCTAGCAATTCTCTTTTGTACCGTCATAAAAATCCAATTTTTATCTCTTATTATTTAACTATATATTTGCCTCTTACATCGACACATCAAAATTCACTAGTGACAACGTAGCATATTGTAGGTTATATATGACTATATTGTGCTGAAATTGATGCTTTATAATGGCCCTTTAAATACTCAATCCTTGTGCCATTATCTCAGTATCTTGAATGGCTGGAGAAGATAATGGATATGAATTATTATTCATAAGAATATAATAATTCTTGAAGATGTACTCCAGATTCAAACTGTTTCCATAGATCCATAATTTTCTTTCATTTTATGGCAGGTGGGATGATTGCCAAACCTGCAGGAACTTCAGGTCAGGCAACAGAACCTAGCCTCGAAACAAAGCAGGAGATATGACGAGGATATATATGGGCGCAACAGCAACAAATCTTGCTAGTAGATGAGCAGATAGTAGGTCTAACCTTGCTAGTTTTACTAACTCTTGTTCAAGGTTTTCGCTGAGTAGATTTTAGCTGACTATAATTCTGGTATTTAGATAAGTGGATTAGTAATAGCAAACTATGTACATGATCTTATGTAATCAGATTAAGTACCTTAAATCGTCTTCTCGGGAACTCAATGCAAATCGAGCATCTGACTAATTCCATCTTGCTCATGTATTAATTTCTGTAAGCTAACTGTTACTGATTACCTCGTATCATGGTGATGAATTTCTCAGTGTAACAACTAATATTTACTCAGTACTCGGTAGTCCCCTTGTGCAGTTGTTTGTAATTAGTTGTCACATTGTGTCATTACCTAGTATCTAAGACATGCTGCCATTTCTTTCTGCAGAGTTAAGCCCAAATTGTCTTGAGGTACCATAATATATTTGATATTGGATGATGATATAAAGTGTTAGTGTTAAAACGACCTCTGTGCAATCGAGGTAATGGCTCCATACTACTAAAAATTCAAATCGATGAACACCACTGATTTACTTGGTACTTGGTATTCCTAAGTCCAAACTTTTAGATGTACTTGCTGAGGCTAGTTCTATTAAAATCTGTCATTGAACAATATGACTGATAACCTCCGTCAAGTCTGAATGTCTGATGCTGTTTATACTGTTATTATTGTGGTTGTTTGTATGTTTGGCAGGTAAGGTTGACAAGGCTATTGCTGATTTAGCAAATCTGGCTAAAATTACCGAGTGAAGAATAGCCATTGGCAAGGCCAGAGGCATCCCTGCAAATGTAAACGCCGTTGGAGCTAGTTTCAAAAAGAGCCAAAGGAACTGCAGCTTCTGCACAACTGCAGCAGCTTTGTACCTTCAGCAACAGATTTGGCACGGCTATGATTCAGGAAAGCCATTGTGCCTCTGTTAGTGTCTCCTTCACTCTCAATATAAGGCCCCCTAGAACAAAAGAGAAGTTAAGACATAGTTTATTGTCCTACATAAGAAGCTCTTAAGTAGATAAGAAGATTTCTCTTTTTCAATGCTGTACCATGTTTTACACTGATTGTTTGTGTCTTCTCAAGTGCTCAGTTAAAGCAGAAGTCAGCAATGTTTTTAGTTGCATCTGAAATCACTGATTCTTATTCATAGCATATGCCTGCTTGATTTCGCTGTGGTAGAAGATTCGAGTTTGTGAATCAAGTGCTTGAGTTGATGTATATGATCTTGATGATGGGCAGAACAATCAAAACTCGTGGTAAATTATTCACAATATGAGCAATATGGTGATAGAATGATGCAGCTGCTAAAGATTGAATTGATTCTTCTCATGAAAAAATGTGTTTATGACCTCTCAACTTATCAAGTCTCAACTAATTGATCAAATACGAGTATGTGATTGACCAAGTGATGTTTGGTTGGGTTTAAAAAATGGCGGAAGGGAAAAATCACGAGAATACAATCTTGGGTTGTTAGGTAACTTTGGTAAGTTATAAAGAGAAAATATTAGAGAAGCCTAGGAAATATGACTTCCACATAACACAAGAATCAAATTACCCAACTTCCCCTTCTCAATACTCCGCAGTTTTCATGCAAATTAAATACTCCGTTTTTATTGATCAAACATGTCATGACCATTTTTCACGAAACATTTACCCTAGGAAAATCCATTTAGCAAATCCAAGTGAAAGTCTATCAAGATTGAAACATACATATGGAGTGTGTATGACAAAATTCCATCATATAGTTCAATTATATTCCAATTTCTCTTTAAAATGTATGATTATGTTTCTAGTTCATGCAATTGATAGGCCAAATAGATATTTCATTTTATGCCAAACTTTTATTTTTTTTCATGGTTGCTAATCTTGTTATGTTGCACTTTTGTAGGCGAAGTGGACAACACAAGTTGTGCTAACATTTTATTGGTCCACCTTAGCTTCATTAATTTTGCCTTTTGTAGAATTAGCATTATCCAATAATAATCTTAGGGTCCACAAAATCATTCTATTCAACTTTATACTAAGAAAAATTCCTTAATAATATCCAAAGTATTGACTAGTCAACCTAATACTTGATGAGCAATGTGACAAAAATGAAATGATAGGCAAATGGGGATAATCCACCTTCGTTTGTATCACAATTTTTGTCATCATAGTCTCTTGCTTGTATTCACTTTCCTTAATCTTTTAACCAAATGTGGTCAATTTTGAGGTTAAATGTCACATTCATATTGTATACCAACAAACACAACACCCCCGGCCTCCCCCCCCCCCCCCCCCCCCCTTTTCAATAATATGGAGTAGAAATTAAAGTTAAAAAGGTATAATTCATTTGAAGTCGAGTTGATGATCAAAGCCGCAAAAATTCTTGCGGCAAATATATATAATATGTAGTATTTGGTGGAGAATATGTATTATTTGATAGAGGACATATGTACAACATGTTGGAGGATATGTGTTATTTGATAGAGGATACATACAGTTTGTTGCTGCACAAAATATTGGGTACCCAATGCTTTGTGTTACATACATGTTCAGACTTGATCAACACAAATTATATTTGTTGCAAAAGAAAAAAAAGGTATTATTAATTTTGCATGGAAATAATTACTTAAGAAAATAAAGAAGTAATAATAGAAATATAATTGAGGATTACATCTAAACGAGATGTTGGTTGATCAATAATGACTTTTTTTTTGTTTTTTTGACAAAGATCAATAATGACTTTAATGAGATATGCAGGGAATAAATGTGGCATTTGAAATTAATTATGTTATGACTTGATCAACATAATGAAAAGATGTTCCTACAACAATATTATTATGTGTTTTTAATATGTTTTATGATTATATGTCAATTGCAGCAAGCATTTTATTATGTGAAGTAATAATTTGAAGCCTTGTTTGGAAAAATAGAGGTAACGGGTAGCTCTAAGCAGTCATATAGTCATGGATAGCTGTAAAATTAAAGTAACAATCGATAATATGAAGGTTTGGAAAAGTAGCGGTTGAAATAATAAAATACATACTTATTGTTTAAAAAAGTAACCAAAATTTAATGCTACTCGCTACATCTTACGCTACTAAGAGCAACTCCAATGACAAGTTAACTTGAATCTTTTTAGCTACTTTTTGCTCCAATGGCTAGCTATTACCTTAGTAATAGTTAATGGATAGAAAATGCATGGAAAGAACTTAATTGGTGCAATGAGCATTTTATTTTGACAAGTTTAATTCAAGCTAATTTGCTTAGTCAAGCTAATTTGCTTAGCCAAGCTAATTGGGTTTCTAGATCCAATGGTCAAGCTAATAACTAAGGAATTATTGATTTTGCAAGCAAGTCCTTAGCTTTTACCGTTGGAGATGCTCTTATCCAAACGTTATATTAATTAACGGTCACCCTAACCATCACCTTACCCAACACTCTTATTTTTTCCAATTCAAGTATTGTTTTGACTTGGTCAAAATGCTAACCATTATGTCAAGCGCTACCACCGAACAACAACAACAACAACAAAGCCTTATCCAAAATTGATTTGGGGTCGGCTAACACGAATCGTCATAAGAAATAATCCTGACAAGAAAAAAGGACATATATAACAAGATAACTTTAAAAAAATGTGTAAAATAAATTGGGAAAAACAAAGAGCATCCAAGTAAATTTAAGAAAGCTTTAAATAGAATATCAAGAACAAAATTTATGAAAGTTTTAAAGGAGTAGTCATCGCATTTTATATACACCCAAGTGCACATTGAAATAGGTGCATCCAAGGGTATTTTTAACTCATTTAATATTTTTGAGCAGAAAATACCTCTGGGTGCACCTTGCACCCGGGTGTATATAATTATTTTTTTAAGGAGTGGTGAAAACGTGCGAGTTAAAAAAAAAACATAATGGTTTGAGAAAACTCTATAGCAAAGGAAATCAATAAACTAAACACAAATTGAGTAAATGAATAAAAGTAAATACGTAGTACTAAGATTAAATGAACAAAAGTGTAAATGAGTTTTTCCCTCCACACCGCCCTATCCAACACCATGTTTTTCTCAATCCTCAAACACTCATATCATCCTCAAGTCTTAATCACCCTCTCCCGAGTTTACTTAGGGATCCTTTGGTTCAACAAAGAAAAAAAGAATGAGCTTAAAAAAGGGTAATAAGAGAATGAAAACAAAAACCTATACATATACTAAGGTTTTTTTTTTTTTTTTTTTTTTTTTTTTTTTAAGAAAGGGAAAAATGGCCACCATACAGCCACCACACAACTACCTCTATCCTTCTCTTTCCTTCCTTTTCTAGCCACCAAGCTAAGAAGACCCCCACCACCCAGCCACCCCATCGCCCCTCCTTATAGCCCCTTCTCTAGGCCTTCCCCTTGGTCCACCGACAAAAATATCTCCCCTCCTTCAAAACCCCTCCTCTTCCCCTCTAAAAATCCTAGAAATCCCCCCTATTCGAAAAACTATTGATCACCGTACCTCTCCCCCTACCCTCGAAACCTTCAAACACTGGGGATTCAAGTATAGGGTAAGGGCGGTTGACAATTTTACGCGTAGGTGACTAGTTTGTAGGGTTTTTCGAAGGAGGGGAGGGTTTGAGGGGATGAAATTTTTTTCATTCTCAGGAGGCGTATGCACGATGCTTCGTGCATGCAAATTTTTTTTTAAAGGTGGAACGAACATATAGTTGTTTTGTAATGAACATATGGCTGTTTTGTAAAGAACATATAATTGTTATAAAGAAAATCCAGCTTTATATTCTTTTTATATATATCTAAAGAGCATCCGTAATATTAATAAAGAACATAATAATATAAGGTAATGAACATTATTTTTATTCAGCCACTGCACCATAATCTAAAGACAAAATTCAAAGAACATTTTAAAATAAACAATGAACATAATGATACTTTGGAATTTATACTTGAGGCTGCTAGTTTAAACCTTGTCTTTCAATCCGAGTTGTTGAGGGGAAGGGCTGAGGGAAGAGATGGTGGGGTGGTTGGGCTTTCTGTGAATAAAATGATTTATATCTAGTAAGAATTATTCCAGTTAAAAAGAAAAAAAAAATGGTGTAAATATGCTCAGTATAAAAAATGTTTAATCGGTAAACATCAAGGAGAAAAAAAAAAGTAAAAAAAACTAATAAGTTTTAATCACTAAAAATAATTCAAGTTTAGTAGGATAAATTAATTTCATCAGCAAATATTATATGAAGAGAACATGGCCTAAGGGCCTGTTCTCTTACGTTGAAATTCAGTTCAGTTCAGTTCAGTTTAGCTCAGCTCCTAATTTCCTTCTCTTATAAAATATTCATGTCAGTTCAGTTCAGTTCAGTTCAGCTCAGCTCAATTCAGTTCAGTTCAGCTGAGTTCAGCTGAGTTCAGTCAATGAGAACAGGCCCTAAGTGGATTCTATTCCAAGATGGCCAAGCACGTGCATAAGTTTTATTTTCAATTTTGATGGGCCAAAAAAATCATCTTGAATGCGTTATTTAATTTTACTTTGATTGGGTGAATTATATAAATTCACCATCCATTCGGTAAGACAATTGATAAGATATTTCCTTTACTACCCTTTTTTTTAACGAAATCCTTTGCTACCAATTTTATACGAAATATATGTTAATTTAAGTGTTGTACTTAAATATTGTTTATAATCCAAGTGTTATGTGGTGCTCTCATCATTCAATGAGTCCTTTTTTTTCATTTATTGAAAGACAAGGTTTGAAACCCGTGGCCTCAAGTACAAAATCCAAAGTATCTTCTTTCATAATAAAGAAGAAAATAAATTAAATAAAATTGAATTTACTCCTGCCATTTGTGCAATAACCCGAGGCATTTCTTAGCGACCAAAAAACTAATTTGCTGCAACAAATTAATTTTACTTTGCGATTTTTGCGCAAATAGATGAATCAATTATAATTTTATCATGTTGTCATGCCTTAAATCCTGTTCTTTTTCTTATTTGCTCATTTATTGTAGCAACAAATAAAAAAATAATAACATCATTGAACATATGTCCGTTTATTATTTATAATTTAATTTTTGAGTAGGAAAAAAATAAAGTTGCTTAATTAGAAATATGAGTATTGTTAAATTGTATGAATGGATTCATATGGTGTGCTATGATGAAAAGGTGTAATATGGAAGATAAAAAGCACCCCCTTGTCTTAAAATGATGTTTTTACTTTAACTTTTTATTTTAAAACTTAAAATATCAAAAAATTAAAAAAATAATAATATTATATGTCACAATGTATTGGGTGAGTCAATTTCACCATAAGTCAAATTCGAAAAAATGACTGATATGTCCAATATGCTATATGAAATTTTCGAAAGTTTAATTTATATGAAATATTTAAATTAAAGACTTTTACTTCCAAGTCGAGATTTAATTAGATTGAATTAAATTTCAAATTTTTTATAAAGTTATTTAAATGGGATGTTCAAAAAATTACGAAGTATAACTTATTATATCTGTCTTATCATGAGTTTGGACTCACATAATACGTTAGTTGTGTAATATATTGTTATATTTATCTCAATGTTAGTTTTATAATATCATATCATCAATTTTTTTTTGTTGACACATAATTAAAGATATTGATGATCAAAATTATGATTTAAAATATGGAAATTTTGACTTTTACCATCAAAAAATTTGGACAAATTGTTTTTTACCACCTACTATTTTAGAAAATTTGGACAAAGTTGTATTTTACCACCAAATAAAACTCAAAAAATTGTTTTTTACCACCTACCGTTTAGAAAACCGTTAAATCTAACGGAAATTTTTTAAATTCTTCGATTTTCGTGCCCAAAATATGTTTTTCATAGGTTTAGGGGGGCATTTTGGTTCTATGGGACCATTTTGAGGTCAAAATTGAAAAAAAATTATCGGAAATACCTCGTTTTGCGTGTTTAAAATTACATCGAATTGCGTGAACACGCAAAACGAGGTATTTCCGATCATTTTTTATCAATTTTGACCTCAAATTGGACCCTTAGGGCCAAAATGCCCCACTAAACCTATAAAAAAACATATTTCGGGCACGAAAATCGAAGAATGTTTTTTATCACCGTTAGATTTAACGGTTTTCTTAACGGTAGGTGGTGAAAAACAATTATTAGAACATTATTTGGTGGTAAAATACAACTTTTAAAATAGTAGGTGGTAAAAAATAATTTGTCCAAATTTTTTGGTGGTAAAAGTCAAAATTTCTTTAAAATATTGCAACAATACAATTAAAAGTAGAAAAATCAAAACAAGATAGGAAAAATAAGATACTTTCTCATAAGCTTTAAAGTGCTTACCTTGTCATTTGTAAGATTTTGTATACGTGGTATAGTTTTGATGGACTAGGAGCCTTAGGAAGATGACAATTATCATTGAGAATAATTTTATAAGCATTAAATGGCTACTCTATCTATCACATATAAAGATTAGGTGGATTCTTAATCCAAAAGATCATCTTGGATAGATGTAGTATTATTTAATTTACATCAAATAATTACATAATGTAATTAAGCTCCAATTCATCTATTCATTGAACAATATCAATACAGATATCTCCTATTTAATGTATACAATCAAAATTGTTGATATCTTACCTTATTTAGTTATTTACAGATTTATTGATACATTTAAAGATTATAAAATGAGATCTTTATCTATCCAGATAACAAAATCTAAATTAATCTATTACAGTTAATTATATTATTATACTTTCCTATTTTTTGCTTGACACATACAATGTTCTATCCAGTCTATTATAAGCTTCTATACGTGGCGATTTTTTTAAAAAAAAAAAAAAAAAACCAGGATGTGTATCGGTACAAATTTTTACATGATTGCCCAAATACCTATAAATACATGTTTTCAGAGATTCACTTTTGTCCAAAAATAGAGACACTATTTGTCTCTCAAAGCCTTCATTGACATTTGTCTCATGTTTTGTCAAAAATTCTCATCATCTCCACTTTCTTCCAAAGCTCACTATACGACATAGACTACCTCCTACCGCCACCCTTTCAACCCACATGTTCCTTATTAATCAACCCCTTCTTCTTTTCAAGAGATACATTTGTTAATCCAACCTTAAATTTTTCTCACAATTTTTCTTTTTTTTTTTTTTAAAAAAAAAGTACTCAAAATTTCTAGTGATCATCTAGGTGTTTTCTTTTTCTTCTTTTATAACCCAAAAAAAAAAATGGTCAAAATGTCTACCCTTTCAGAGGCTTACAAGGATCATCCTGTGAAACAAAATCTTATCGTTCCTCTTGACTTTACCTCAGTCAAAAGTGTTCCCGAATCTCATGCATGGGCACGATGTTATGATGATCCAAAAATCAACCCTAGTGACATTGACAAATCGTGGTCTTCAATCTCTGTCCCAGTGATTGATCTCGACGATCCTAATGTTGTAAACCTTATTTTTAAGGCGTGTGAGACTTGGGGTATGTTCCAAGTCACGAATCATGGGATTTCAAAACAAGTACTCGACCAAGTCGAGTCTCAAGCCAAAAATTTATTCAATCTCCCATTCGAGCAAAAGATGAAGGTTGTACGACCCCCCAACGGAGCTACCGGCTACGGATATCCTCGAATCACTCCTTTCTTTAACAAGCTAATGTGGAATGAAGGGTTCACTATCATGGGTGACTCCTTGAATAACAATGCTAAGATACTTTGGCCTAATGATTTCCAAGATTTTTGGTAAGCTTATTATTATTATTATTATTAAAATCTATTTTTATAACAATTTTAACATGCATGCACCTTTGCTAATATAAGTTACTAACTACGTTGTTAAATTTTCATGCATGCATGCACTTATTTATTATTATATTAATTATAAATTTATAATATCTATTTCTAGCCACCTGTTGCATACTTGGACAGTCCATATATGTACACTTGGAAAAGACAATATATAATTAATTTCAAGTTTCAATTTTAATGTTTTGTTGTGCATATATTATTATAGTGTAGAAATAATATGACATAGATACTTTATTTTTCAAAGTTTAGATTAATTATGTATCTTGGATATGATGTTACGTCTTACGTATACACTACAAGTTAGGCTTTCACCGATTCACAATTTTCACTACATAGGCCGGCTTAGTAATTAAGGCATGTATACTATTGAGTGTGAATTTATTTTTATATGTTTCTCATATTTTATTATTTCTCAAAATAACCTTAACAAATACGAGTATTTATTTATTTTTACTTGTGTTTACACTACTTTATTTTGTATGTTCACATTGAATTTCTCTTTCTTATTCGACCTTAATAAAATTGTTAAGTTACTCCGTAAAATTTATTGATTATCGAGAACAGAATGAGTTATGTTTTTTGTTACACTCACTTTAAATAAAAGGTAAATCGTCAGCAAAATTAGGATATTTATTAAATGTCATGCACTTAATAAGTTTTGATGATGTGAAAAGGTTGAGCGGGATAATCTTGATTATTATTTGACATTATTGTTTATTTTTTCCCCTAATGCTCATATATGGCCTATATAAATAGATACTATGACATAAAAAGTATAATAAGTTTTTTTTTTTCAACGTATCAATACTTTGGATACACTCCAATCCATTTGTCTTTAAAATATTTTTATTTGAATGATATTTATCTTTAAAAAATAAATAAATAAATTAGATACAAAATACATACAATAATTAATGACAATAATTTTGAAATAGATTAGAAACCATTTAAAGGAGTCCTTCCTAAATATTAAAATTGTCATATTATGTGATGTTATGGAGTATGGACTAGAGTGTAGAGTCTAATTAACTAGCTTAGTATTTCTACTTTGAATTAATTAGGACGCATGTTGTTAATGATACTATTTATAAATTTTTAATAACAAATTAAAACTTTATTAATGGACCTATTCTTTAAGAGAGATTGTTTTCACACTTTCAATAATTATTAATGGCATTCTCACTTATTTGGGTTTACATTTATACCTCTAGTGTGAGTACTAATAAAAGAAGTGTGAAACCAGGATATTGGATAGTCAAATGTTCTTTTGCATTACAAATTGTTTATATCATTAATTTTTGCTAACAAAACCTTAATAATTGTTTATGTTGTTTTATGTAGTGAAGTGATATCAGAGTACCAAACAAGGATGAAGGACCTCGGTAACAAACTCATGGATCTACTTCTCAAATCACTCAACATACCCGAACCCATTTTAGAAGGAAAAGATCAAGACCCTTGTACTGCATTGCAACTCAACTCATATCCGACATGCCCTGACCCGACCCAAACAATGGGTCTAGCCCAACACACCGACACCTTTCTCTTTACAATCCTCCACCAAAGTGGCAATACAAGTGGGCTCCAAGTACTAAAAGATGGGCTCGGATGGGTCTCGGTTGACCCGCATCCGGGTGCTTTAGTGGTGAATGTGGGAGATCTTTTGCACATAATTTCAAATGCAAGATTCCCAAGTGCAATTCATAGGGCAGTTGTCAACAATGAAAAACAAAGGCTATCCTTTGCATATTTCATTGGCCCTCCTTTAGACTTTGAAGTCTCTCCCTTTTTGGATTATCCAAATTGTGACGGTCCTTATTTCAGGTCTTTGAAGGTGAAGGAATATGTTAGCATTAAGTCTAAGTACCTTGATTTGGCACTCTCCATTGTTAAGAAAAGTGGCTAATTAGTATAAATTAGAGTAAAAGACATGTTTAAGTTTTCCTTCCTTGGTTTTATTTGGAATTACAATTAAAGGGTTGGAAAACCAAATTTGTACTTTGGTAAAGTAAATGAGTATGCCATTGCGTCTTGTCAAAAAAAAAAATATAAATAAATAAAAATTGAGTATGCCATTGATTATCCTTACATTACTTGTTTAATTATATTATTATATATTCTAATAATTTATGCTTATCCAATGTGTTGAAACCATGCTCAAAAAATGATTTTTGTAGTTTATCCCCCGCAATCATAAAATCTTGAATCATTTACTAATTTCTTCGTCTCTAAATATTGTTCCTAATTTGACTTATTTTTGTAAGCACTAGGAACAATATTTAGTAGGTACATGTTTTAATTACTTTGATAAAAATAAAATAAAAACGTAAAAATTAAACTAAAACAAAAGGGAAAAAAAAAATCAGAAACAACATAACAGAAACACGTCTACGGCAATAATGAAATTACCAACATAAACGTAATATTTGACACAAAATGGGACATAAGTTAGACCTATATTGGCTTGTTATTTAACTTGTGAAAATAAGTACTCAATATTTTGGAAATAAAAGAAAATTTGACTAGTAATGTAGGAATAACTTTAATTCATCAAACAACACAGTCAACATTAATCCAACTAATAAAATATCATATAAAAAAAGAAAGAAAGAAAAGAAAAAAAGGATCTGATACCAAGCAGACAATCAATTACTCCGTAATGATTTTATGGTTTTAAAGCAAACAAACAAGTTATATTAGAAACAAAAGATGAGATTATTATATACTTCGTATATAAAAAGGAGGCCTTGTACTGTACACAAACAAATCAACTAAATAAGGTTAGGTTGTAGTCTTGAAAGAAGACGGACCTAATATTTTTGTATCTCTTAAATAATCAGGCCGGCTATTCAAAAAAAAAAAGTAAAAAAAAAAAAAAAAAAAAAAAAAAAAAACAGACCAGCTAAATTGGGTTGAATATTCCAATCATTCCAAGTAAGCCAAAGATGAAGCCACTATCAAGCTTGCGTCTCATCAATGCATCTTCACCAAATGATATCCTTTCATCTCCAGTAGACTGACTCAGCGTTTCAACCTATTCAATGGCTTTCAAAATTTAAATGATGGGACAAATAACGAATCAGACTCACATAGCTCTTTGATCTTCTGTCAAACTTATTACTACAAACATATGATCTTGCAGTCGTATTTCCAACAGCCATTCATGTTCTATCGAAATCAGGCACACAAGATACTTAGCATAAGGATGTCGCTTGTCTTTTGGTCTGCCAACTACCTGAGCTGAGTACAAAAAAGAAAACATTACATAATGGATGAGCTAACAAGAAAAGATCAAAGTTTTAGTCATGAAAAACTTTCATTACGATGCTTAAATTTGTTTCCAAATGCTCAAAATAACAATGACAGTTACAACAAAGCATCAACCCGCCTTTTCAGGCTTTGGCCAGTCCATGTGCACCTTACACTCAAAGCATTTCTGGCTAATGGAGAGGTTGTTGCCAAAGAATTCACAAGAAAATATCAGATATAAGAATGAATGTTGTACACTTGACACTTCATTTTGAACCAAAAATATAAAATCTACATAACATAGCCAAATCTGAGAAATGGACTCATACTCATATTTGATACAGGTAGCCAAATTCGATTTACAAAGAAAATTCACACGGAAAGAATAATTCAACTGGATTAAAGATTTTATTTTATTTTTTTAAAGTGAAAAGCATATATGAGAATAAGTTCAACATCGATCTTCAGTAACTATAACAAACAAGGCTCTCCCAAATCCCAAGTAGGATTACCAACAGAAACTAAATTCAGAAAATGGCTTGACTATGTGTTATGTTTTAAAAATAAACATAATCAACATGGTAATTTTTTTTTTTTTTTTGAAGACAATTAATTCTAGAGGAAATAATTATAAGCTCGCATCACCCTTGCCAATGAATGGAAGCATCAAGATTCAAGAATTTATGACAATGACACAATGTGCAGGATTGTCAGTGGTGTGGTTCTGTAGTCTAGTGACAGGCAAGGGAAATGCATTTGAACTCTGAACCTTTGTGAACTATCTACAACAAGAAATACATGATCGTGGTGGCTGTACTATTTACAAATTACAACTTCTACTTTTGGAGACATGACACAAGTCCCAATCACAATGAAGCATAAATTCCAACTTTCCAGCATTATTCAAGGATGCAGTAATTTATGACAAAAGCACAATCAGCACTGTGACCCTAGAGAATTCCAACAAAAGGAGAGAATATGACCGGAGAGAATATAGTAAGAACACTGAACAGGGAACTGTTTATTGTTCTGTCTTTGTCCTCATATAAAGACAAACAAAAAATATATAGCAACAAAGTGGAATTTTCAAGGAGTAATCGTGCTTATCCAAAATTAGCTTAACTTTTTCTTCATTCATAATCCACATTACATCAAAACTAACACTAATAGATAGCAACTGCTACATGCACACACAAAATGAAACAATGTAGTAGCTCAAATCAAAGAAACAAATGTATCAAATGTGAAATGGACAATGCAAAAACTGTGGGAGAAGTTGAGAAATACAACAAATTATTGCAGATTGGAAATTTTATTTGTATACTGGCCTTGACACCAACAACAACAAAACCTCAATCCCAATATTAATTGGGGTGATGGGGTCAGCTAACATGAATCGTTATTAAAAAAAAAAAACACCCGCAAATCATAGAACAAAAGAAGGAAACTGATAAAATGAAAATAGGCAAAAGAGAATATAAAGTGAAATTGGCGAAAGTTTGTACACATGTCTTGATAAATTCAAAAATAAAAGTATAAATAAATATATAATGAGACATTTACCTTGCTTCTGGAATGCAAATTATAAAATTTCAACACGAAGAGGAAGTTTGGCCCCCTTGCTTTTCATGTAGAGCAAATTCCATCTTGAGCCTCTCATTCTTTCTACATTCTTCCTGAGGAAAAGGAAACAAATAGCCCAGAGAATTAAAAATAGCCAGACAGAGTACAAGCCTACATGTATTACAGTAACATAGTGATCACCTAGTTTCTTATTCTCTTAGCTAACAACAGCATAAGCATTCATTACAAACCGTTTGTTTTCAGTAATGTGACACAAAACTTTTGAAGCTGTAGAAGTTGTAGGATGCACTGTGTCAGGCTGGGAACATATGCTTTTTCCCCCCAACATACAAAAAGTTATCATCAAAATTATTCCCGGCAATTTTTTACTTAGAAGGTTTTTACTAAAGCTGGGAAGACCAACATGAACACGCCTGAGCGTTGAATGTTCAGTCAAATCAAGAAAAAGAATGCAAGATACTTCACAAAGATTACAATAAAAATCACAATAATAAGAAGACAGATTTCTATCCAGGGAAAAGAAGACAAACTCAGAAAGCCAACAATCTACTAAATTTCCAAATTTGTTGTCATCTCTATAATTGCATAGAAACATGACAATAAGATCACACTGATAAACAGATAGTCATCCATCTAATTATCCAGGAAATAGACAAATTATGAAGCCAACAAAAGAGAAGTCATAATTCTAATTCATTTTGTCTTTTCTTAAGAAGTAAAAGGACTGCTAAATTGGAAGTAGTGAAGAAGGCCTCTGAAGAAGATAGGAAAAAAGAGAAAAAAACAAGGCTTATCAATCTAAAATGTACCAAACTTACATGTTGGATAAGTATTAAGTAGTCCTTCCTGAATGACACCAAAGCTAAGTCTACATTCCCTCAATATATCCAATTTCCTACTTTCCTATTATTTGCAACAAAAGGTTATTATTTGTGAGATATAAAAGGCTTATCAACAAAAGGCTTATCAATCTAAAGTGTACCAAACTTACACGTCCAGCAGAGGGAAGCAATGTTTCATATTATTTGCAACAAAAGGTTATTATTTGTGAGATATAAAAAATTCCTTCATTGCAAATAATAAGAAACGGGGGTAGTAGTTAAGTTATACCAAGCGGGTGTTTATTGTACTTTTTTTATTTGTTCTTTGTTAAGTTCTACTAAATGATGTCTAGAAGGTAAATTATTCAATAAAACCAAAATAAATTAGATAAAGACATTTAAAATGATTAAGTACATAAAACGTATAAATAGAAAGTCAAATTCACCTATCAAATACCTAAAACATTATTATATAATACGGAGTGGGGGCAAACACTAGTAACCAGGTTATTTATGCTATGTCCAGTTCAACTTAATTAAGCAAATATTAATTTCAAAAATGGTAAGGTCAAATCAGACCAGATCAGAGCTAATCAGCTAATTTTTTCGTTCGCATTTACTTATCTTAAGGATCTTTAATTCTATAATCAGGGGGAAAAAAATTACATATTTGAAAAGAACATATTAATACGAAACTGATGACATCTCATTTGAAGATTTTATATCTTAAGCAATTAGGTGAATGAGTGTACAAATAAGGCTGAGCTTGGTCAACACCAAACATAGCCTTAGTTTCCATTTTCAAGATGGAGTTAGAAAAAAGAAAATTTAGGTATAAACATAGGCCTAAGGATGTGTAATGAAGGGGGAGTGTAACAAGAGATTCTTTAGTTAACTAGTATCTTAAGTTGTTTGCTTGTTGCTTAAATCTTCCTCAGCCGGCTACAGATCACCTGATTTGTATATACATTTTTTATTTTAGGCCTAGCTCTAAGTCTCTCACCTTCAATAGCCCATATGACATATGACACATTGATTACTCCAAAATACAACTATGAACTCTTCAAGCAATAGATTCCCCTGTGATTGACCCAAATGAGTAGGAAACAGACGTTCATCAATTCCCATAAACAAAATAGAAAATACACGAGAGAATAAGTATATCTTACCTGAAAATCCTTTAAGAGGACAGAACAATGGCGTTGATCCACAATGGCTGCACTGTATTGCTCCCTAAGGGTATCAAGAGTTTTTTGCTCCACTTGTAGTCCAAATTGCACCTTCTCAAGCTTCTAAAGAATGAACCAGGAAATGTGGCCATATGTCAAGAAAACAGAGTCAGCCTGTTAAGTACTGTATACTAAACTTGTGACAACCAGGAACAGATAAATTCAGTAGTTCCTGGCTAGAAATTTAGCAGTGATAACAAATATACTTAAAGTCCCATGACATCCTTGGGGAGTTATAGTCATCAGTTCCCCAATGCACATAAAGTAGGCCAAACAATTTCATGACAAGATCCAGAAGTTGATTTGTATCATCATTCATCCAAAATCATTTACTAATAAACTTGAGGTAGCATTCATGGACCCAAGTAACCCAGCACTTGATTTGGGTCAGCCACCACTACGAGTCTACGTTCGAAGGCAAAACAAGACCAAGGGGACAAGAGTATAAACAGCAGAATAGCCAAATCAGCAAAGGAACAGAACAAAGGTGATTAATGATGCACTTGTGGGAGGGGTGACTGAATCTCTGAGCATGTGATACTTTTTGTCAGCAGAAGACAAATGTAACTAAGAGTAGGTTTAAAACTTGTAATAGAGCTTGAGTATAAAAAGGCAGAAGTAGTAGAATAGCAGTTATCCAGAAATTGAGAGAAAACACTTGTTGAGAGAGTTGTAGCCTAAAGCTACTAAGTGAGAGTTGAGACTGTAAGAGTAATAGCCTAGAGCTATTTATCCTTGTAAACATTTCGCCATTATCAATCAATTAATCAAGCTTCCTACTCCAATATTAGCCTAAATTCTGTCTTATTAATACTTCCCAGAGGTACTCTATAACATATTATCTAATTAACATAGATAAGAGACCAGTGAAAGACCCAAATTACCTGCTGAATTCCCTTCATAATAGCTTCCATTGAATCAATGAGTTTTGTACGGCCAGCAGGGTCCCCTATCGCATCTGCAAACTTTGATGCAATTGTTAAAATATGCAAATATTCAGTAAATCTGCCACAACACATAATTTCTCTGTTTTCTTATTTTTCCTTGCAACAATATAACCTATGCAGTATTTACATATTCACCTCGATTTATACTTTCATGATACCAGATCCTTATAATTTTTATTTGATTAGAGGCTAGATCTATACTCTCATGATATTAAATCTTTATAGTTTCTACTTATTGATATTGAAAGACATTAGTGATTGAAATAATGCATTGGCAAGCATGAAATTAGATGTGTTGCAAGTAAAAAAACACAGAGGAAGTATCAAGGTACTCTAGAGAATATTCTTAACTTCCCAAGCAGTCAAGCATGAATGAAGACCGCCATCCAACATTTTATGATCATCAAAGTTAAACATTATGTTAGATACAGTAGTATATTAAGATTCATGACCATAGCAAGCTTGGAACAAATCAGTATACAAGAATGAAGCAACCTACAGTAACAGAGACATGAAATATTCTCAATAATCACCTCTTTTACACATTAGTCTTTCAACTTCCCCTTTATCATATGTTAATCTACCCTAAAGTCAGGATATGGAAGGAGGTTAATTCATATTTGACCCAATCCAAGGGAAAAAAAAACTATACCTAAATCCAAACCACGTAATTGACATAACTAGTCCAAATCCAAATTCGATTTAGGGACTAAAGGTTGTTCATTAAACCACCACGTGAGGTTCTGCCTTTTTTTTTTTAAGAATTCATTAAAAAAGAGAACTTTCTAGTTTCTTTACTTTCTCATCTCCCTTCTCTGTATCATAGTATGTTATAGCATCATTGCTCACCATACTGCAGCAATAAACTAGAATAACAATGCATAACTGATATTCTGTGAAGTAGCTCCCTAAATAAGGGACTGGGCATAGCAATTTAAGCAAAGTTAGAAACCCCTGCTACCTAAATATTCTTTAGCTTAAGCCAACCCCCCCCCCCCCCCAAAAAAAAAAAAAAAAAAAAAAAAAAAACAAAAATATGCATTTTAAAGGGTCAACCTCACCCCTACAAAGTCCACCCCACACATTGAGTTAAAGCCTTTGACATACACTAACGGAAGCATCATGTAGATCGCCAAGCAATCCATAACAAATGGATTCTACAGTAGCAACTGCATGATTATATGCATAATTGCATAACATCCACATTTCATACTCAGTGTAAGGATTGCTTGCTCAAAAGAAAAAGTTAAACCAAGTTAGCGTAGGGAATAAGCATTGATGGTCAATAATTAGAATATTAATCACTTTGTGAGGTCTTAACTAAAGCGAAAACATTGAAAAAACAAGTTTATTTTTCATTCCTAATAACCATCATATAAACACTTAGTAATACAAGTAGTACAAGAAGGATACTAAAGTAGGGAAAAGGCATAGTGAAATATTTGTGGAGCTTATTTAATACTTACTTGTGAATCTACTGAATTCAGTAAAGATGTCTCCTTCAGCATCAAGTCCTTTATCTCAAGAAGAGCATTATAGGTTTCATAATACTTACGAGTTTGACAAAGTCTATCCTACACTTAAAAAAATAACCAAAAAGTTATTCAAACTTTGGATTGCTAAGATAAAAAGTAAAAACAAAGAGCAACAGAAGATAAAAAAAAAAAACCTGCATGTGAACATTCAATTCTGAAAAGCGGCGTTCGTACCTGCAGTCAGTAGTATTCAGTATGTAGTCAAAAAATAGCAAAGAAAAATAGCATTTTTCAAAGCCTTTAGTGCCATGAGAAACAGAATTCAACAGTCATTTATGCATCTAGTCAGCAAGAAACTCTCTGCCCCCCTAAATGTATTAGAGCAAGCAAAGTTACCTAAATAACTACAATATATATATATATATATATATATATATATATATATATATATGACCAGGATTCATTGGGAAGACTTAAGAACTTAAAGAATGGAGACTGGAGAGCATACTGAACAAGTTCAGCTTCGATTGGAAGTTCATCAAGCTGCCTCTTCAAAGAGACCAATTCCCTCAACTTAATAGAAAGTTCCTGGCACGATATATAGATTAATACATTTTGTATACAGAATGAAAGAAATTAATACAACAGATCAAACAAATAGGAATACAAAGAAAGCTTTGCAATAAAAAGATTAATATGACACACTGGATGAAGAGTTCACTTTCAAATGCAATTCATCCCACATTATTTTGATAAGAAGAGAAATAACTTATAGAGTGCAATGGTGTCCATTTAAGCAGCATGTAACTTCTTTATTTCTAATCGTTTTTAGATTCATAATCAATATTTGAAAGCTTATTGAACAAACTTTACGTACATGAAGAGGAGATAAATCATGGAAATTATGAACACTGCAAGCTTGGAAATTGAAACTTTGCGTAAAAAGAGACCATCTAAATTTCAATTCTAAGCTTGATTTTGGACATTTGGGCTTGGTAATCAATGCCTTGTCTAACCTGATAAGCATCTATGACTTTCTACTTCAATTGTGGGCTGAATGTAACCCACTTCTAAAGATTTAAATTAAGCATTGGGCTTAGAAATCAATCTCAACCCTAAAATTTAAGGTTCATTACACACTGTAATGGGGCTACAAAAATTCTAGACATGTATCTACACCTGGCCATCTAATGCATCCTACAAAATGTTCATTGGCAAAAAAAAACCATTACCATCCACAAAAGGATATTTGCAACAGAAAATTGGTCAAAACATTAAGCAAAATCTGGTGCATAAATACAACAGAATAAAAAAGGAATACATTCATCCATTAAAATATGATTAGATTATCCAGACAAAATGCAAATCCTATTCTTTAAACAGTTTGAAGTTAAAGTCGACAACAACAACAAGTCAACAACAACAAAGACTTAGTCTCAAAATAATTTGGGTCGGCTAACATGAATTGTCATAAGGAATCGTACACCCTACACTAGCATACTGTTTTTTAAAGTTTAACTTAACTATAAACACCCTACACTACAATACTATTCTTTAAAATCTAACTCAACAGCTCAACTATAAACACTCAACACTACAATACATTTTTTAAAGTTTAACTTGACTTTAAACACTGACTATACAGTATACACTACCATCCATATCCAAGACCATCAGAATGGCTTAATCTTACCTTTTTTGCATATTCTAACTTCTTAGATAAGTCAGAAATAGAACATTCAAGAAAATCATGTGGATCATTATCACCATTGCCATTCCTCAAATCTTCCTGCAATTGAGTGATCTCAGAATTGCAGTCAGACTGAAACTCATTTTCTTGCCTCTCCCGAGCCTGATTACATAAAAGAAAACGACAATCCATTTGAAAAGTAAAAAAATAAAAAATTGCACAAAATCATTCAAAAAAAATCATAAATAAACCAAACTAGTTGCATTGAGCTAAACAACTGAGAAAATCAAAAGGCAGCCTAGATGCTGAGACATCTATGGTAGAAAAATACAAACATATAATACCTCTTTCTTTCCCTATAGGGAGGAGGGATTGAACAGCCATGGCTATATGGGATTCCCTCTTAGAGTTCTTTCTCCATAGCTTATTTTTGCTTAATTTAACTTATTTTTGTAGGACTTTTGCTTAGCATAGCTTATTTTTTTCTCCAACTTAACTTATAACATAACTTATTCTTGATAAACTTAGCTTATTATTGCTGAAATTAACCTTTTTTTATAAAGCTAATGAGAACAAAGCCTTCATAGATGAGAAATGCAGAATCAAATCCATACAACATCCTAGAATCATAGCCAATAAGTACCTTAATTACTAATTTGCCACAAGATCAAATGAACTTTAACAATGTACCTTAGATTTCATCAGCAAGGAAACCAATTTTTGCACCTTACTACCAATACCAGTCTCCTCAATTTTTTCTTTTAGAAGTTGCGACTCTGTCAAGACATAAGCCCTTCTCTCATTCTGTAAGCAGAGAACGCAAAACTTAAAGGAATACTCACTTCAACTAGGCATTAGACACAAGCCATTTATTACTTCAGAGAGTTCAGACGAAGATGTATAGCATTGAAATTTTGGAATAATTATTGTTGCTCAGCGACAAACAAAATATGCCACCTATAATCACAAAATATAAAAGTAAAAAAGCCAAATGAGGAGTTGTTAAGAGTTGGTCTCATTCCCTCAACTCAATTTGCTTTTACTATAATCCTATTCAAGATACTCAACTGTATAGAAGTTATTCTATGAATCCAAAACAATTTAAAACATTCTTAATACCAACTACGAAGAATCATAATATTCTAGAAAGAGTAAAAATTGTATGATAGGTACTTCATATAGATCCCAATCCAAATCTGAATTAAGAAATACACGTTTTGACTTTCGACACTATTTAACATTTGTGGTTTATTGATATGATATGAAAATAAATAATCATGTGGGATCATGTTGATCAGTTTCAATATGTTCTTAACCAAATTCAATTTTTAGTAATTTAAACAATAGCATAACAAAAGATGTTTTTGATTAAATTTTCGCATAAACAATCGTGATAAAAGAAACATGTCAACTAATTTGGAACGGAGGAAATCATGTTATTCAATTAGACCAACACCTCATTCCTAAGAGTCAAAGATTTCAATTTATAAGGAATTACATTTTGAAGTACATGGATACAGGCACAAAGGAATTCATACAATAAAGAGAAATAAATCTTTACATCACTGATATATACTATTGCCAAAAGCTTTCAGCCAAATGGTGGAAATTCTAAACCCTATGAGTGATAGTTGTGCCTTCAACACATCAAAAAAAGGTCAATTATGCATTAAAAGAACATTCAAAGAAAAGCAGCCAAGACTAGAGGAAACATTACAGCAACCACTACCGCCTGTTGAAAGAATTTTTCTATTTTAATTAAGGGCAGATCTATAAACAACAAGATACTTGCACCCCCTTATCCCAGGCAGAGAGGTTGACTGTTTCCAAAAGACAAGTCCAAACTAGCAGTGTCAATAAGTAGCAATAATTAGGCATGGGTACTTCCAACATTTATGAAATACTTTTAAATTTCTTGAAAATGTGGCAGATAATTCATATCTTGATTAAATTACATTTATGGAACTCCAATTGACCAACTAATTAAACAAACTCGATAGATAACAAGGAATATTGTAATTGGGAAGTGGAAGCAATAACCACACTCTAATAAGACCTCATAATTGCTACCATTGCGCAGCAGGATTGATGCCAGCATAGTCAATATCGTCAACCTGAGTAGCCTTGGGAGACCCCATCAACTTAAAAATAGAGCTACAGCAGTCAAATACATTAGCATTTATAAGAAAAGAGCATTTTTGTACCATTACAATAACTGCAAAAAAAAAGTACTTGAGAGACTTGCTCTTAGACTGCCAACATAACAAAAAGGACTGCCAATAGTTGTAAGGAACTAAGGATTATGCGAAAAATTGGGAGTGATATTTTGTATTGACCCTTTTCACGGTGATAACCTCAACTTATCGACTTATCCCTATGATTCTATAAAGCTGGAGAAGAATTGAGCGATTAGCAACACATTATCGACTTATCCCTATGATTCAATTCAACGAAATCGCTCAATATTATTATTCATAATTTCAGGAATCAAGACCAATAATTCAATATTCCACCTTAGAGGAACCCTAAATTCACTGTACTGACGAATAAATTAATGATTAACACTATATTGTCAAATTAATATTCAATCATTTAATACAAAGAAATTTTACCTCATAAGCTGCTTCAATGGAGAATTCAGAGTAGCTTCAATGGAGGAGAGAGGAAGGGAGGGTACTAGTACACTTGATATCTTAGATGTTTCATTAAGTTAATGGTATTTTCTTAAAATAATAATAATAACTTTTCGTATTATTTACAGTGATTTCCCAAAATAATGTGATAAACTAATTCTTTATATAAATTAGTTTAAAAACTATTTTTCACAAGGAAAATGTTATACATAGCCATATATAAGAATTAAAAATTTACCAATTGGTTGTTGGTGTAGTGGTGATTGGGACTACACTTGGTAGGGAGGACTCGTGTTCGATCCCCCGCAACAACAATCGGGAGGGGACTGGAACCTAACCACTCAGAAGTGATCCCCGAATCCGGATTAGCCCAAAGGTTTTTTATATTGTCATAAACCTCTAACTGTATTAGCGGTTCTTTATATGAAACCTCTAATATCATTGCCGGTTCTATATAATTTGAAGTGAAAGCTAATTTAGAACCTCTAATACCATTACTGGTTCTATATAATTTGAAGTGAAAGCTTATTTAGAACCGCTAATGGTAATTAGTAGGGCTGAGCAAAACTACCCGAAAAATCGAAAATTCAAAAACCCGTTCCGTTACCGTTCCGAAAATTAGGGTACTCGATCCGATAACCATAACAGTTCGGATACCCGTTCCGATAATTTGTTATCGGGTATGGTTTTTGGGTATCATTTTAAAATTAACGGTTTCCCGATCCGTTCCGATAAACAATTATTTTGTTTTTTTTCCTACTTAAATCTATCTTTTCAATATTTAAGCTCTTACATTACTTCATAATCACTATATAATATCAATAATTAGTAATGTTATTAATAATTTGGTCAAGATCATATGGTATTGTTGTTAATTAGTGTTAAAAAATATCATAATAATTAATTTTTTAAGTTTAATTATCACTATTGGATACTTTATTGGGTACCCGATAACCGTTCCGAAAATCCGGGTACCCGAACTTATCGGTTCGGGTTATGGATATCACTTTTAGTGAATTGGTTATCGGGTACCCGAACCGTTAGTACTAATGGTACGGGTACCCGTCCCATGCTCACCCCTAGTAATTAGAGGTTCTATGCATAGAACTTCTAATGGCATTAGAGGTTCTACGCATGGAACCTCTAATGGTATTAGCGGTTCAATATATAGAACCGCCAACATTGTTAGCGGTTTTATACTACCAAATTCCAAACCTATAAATCGATCCTATGTAGATGGTATTGTGGAAATTAGTTTTTAAACCGACTTATATAAGGATTTAATTTGTATTTTAGCATTATTTAGCAAAAATGCTAATTTAATAAAATTAGTTTCAGTAAAATTAATTTCTTAACATTTCTTAAAAATAATTTTAGCATAATAAACCATTAATATTGTGGAAGCTCAGTAATTAAAATAATTATCGTTATTAATTAAATATTGATTCTGTTCACTTTCACTTATTCCAGGTTAAATAAGCCCAATTAAGTTTATGTAGGCTCAATTAAAAAAAATATGTCTTGGTAAGGGTTACCTAAGTTCAAATTACAAATTAAAATAAGTTTTAATAAATTATATATTGAGGTAAGTTCATATAAGAATAAGATCATATAAGTAAAATGAGGTGAATTGAACACACCTTAGATTAATGGGTTCCTTTTTTTTTTTAACTTTGTACAATCATACGAACCTATGAAAGATTTTTTTTAAAAGTATTGTATAGTACAAGTTATTGACTGTATTTAAAAGTTACATGTTAAATTCCAATCAAATGGAAAATTCAATAAAATTCATATGTAAAAATTATGTTTTGGTTGTTATTTCTCTCACATGGACTTAAAGGTTGTACATGTGATTTTATTATCAATCATTCTACATAAATAATTAATTGTAAACTACGGCCCTATTCAATTCACCTTTTAAAAAAAAATTTAGTAATTTTTTTTTAATTCCGTAAATATAAGTTTATTTAATCAGTAACTTAAATATGGTGTAAGAAATATAATAAAAAAATCAATAAAAATAATTTCATTTTATTAAAAATAAGGCGGAGTGAATAGTGCCTAAGAATGCAATTGAATTTCAACCTATTTTTTTTTGGTGTTCCATCCGTTTCACCCTTTGGGCTAATCCGGATTCGGGGATCAGTTCTGGGTGGTTAGGTTCCAGTCCCCTCCCGATTGTTGTTGCGGGGGATCGAACACGGGTCCTCCCTACCAAGTGTAGTCCCAATAAAACTCCATGTTTGTTTATTGGGTTTGGGAATAAAGTTTGACTTTATTTTTAAATTTTTTTTTAGAGAGGTGAGAATTGAAGTGTGCATATAGACTTACATAACAATGTCAAGTTTGGGAATGAGTTTAAGATTATATGTCCTCTATTATCAATATCATTAAGAGCAGGTAATACTAAGAAACTAGGAATGATGGAAAAAAAGTAAAAAAAACAAAACAAAAAAAAGGACTATAGTGTCGCTTTGATTATATGTTTTTATAAAAAACGACTATACGGAGTGTCAGAGTATAATTTAATTACCCTCACGGACGTGTTATTGAAAAACACAACTTTTATGTTTTAAAGTACTTATGAAAATCTATTTAGTACTCAATACTCCATTTGTCCCTATTAGTTTTAGCTTCTTTATGCTTTTTTTTTTTTTACTATTATAAAATTTTAGAAAAAAGTATAAAAAAACAAAACCAGCCATTAGGATGGAAGAGACTAATTAAGGGTTAATTTCACTTAAGTTAAGTGCAGTTCATTTCAGCTTGAATTCAATTCATTTTCGTTACTAATTTCCTTCTCTCATAAATAATTCATTTCAGCTCAATTCAGATTCAATCAGTTTAATTTAATTCATTTCCGTTCAATTTAAAAAATAAAAAAAACGGAAATTCAATTGATTTTTCCAATAGAATTAAGAGCAGTAGTTGATGTTTATAATTTGGGGGTTTTGGTAGTTTTGGAGCCTTTTCACATGTACGCCTGCCTCGCTGCGTTCCCTCTCCTTTTCTCTCTCCTCCATTGAAGCGCGTACTCTCAATCCTCCATTGAAGCACCTACTTCTCACCTTTCTTTCCTCCATTCAATCAGCTCATTAGGTCAGATTTCTTCTTCTCATTCTTAATTATGGAATATCAATTTCACAATCTGTGTTAATCTCTAAATTAATTAATTGTCATTTTAATCAATTTAGGGTTCTTCTATGCTGAATTATTGGTTATTAATTGCTGAATGATTGATTATAACCTGCGATTTCGTTGCTGGAATTTGCAATTTTCGTATTTTCAAGCGAGAAGAATTTAATTTTATGATTTGAGTCAAATTTGGTTGCTAATGTTGTGTAGAATTTTGTTTTGTATAGTTGTTTAATGTTAGGATGGAACTATGAAAATGGAATTGTTCTCCCCGAGCCGACGGGGCGGGGATGAGGATGGGGATGGGTGTGATTGTTTGACCAATTTACCTTGTTGAAGTTTGGCTTCTTGTTTGATCGGATTGTGATGAGTATGTGTTTGGTAGGCCTAATGCTTGTTGGCAGATTCGGAGTGTACAGTTTTTCTTGACATGTTTCGAGTTTTGCCTTGCTATGCAGGTGTAATGGAGGTCTCCATTTGGAGGGCTCTTCTTCAAAATATATCATCTTTTTTAAGTTTATCATCACGTGACGGCTTTGACTCAGAACCGGTGCGAAAATGCTACCAGAAGATGGAAGAGATATTGAAGTTGTTAAAGCCGATAATTGATGCAATTGTGGATACTGAAGTAGCCTCTGATGAGGTACTTAATAAGGCACTACAAGAACTTGGATTGTCTATTGATGAGTCACAAGATCTCTTTGAGAGCTGGCATCCTTTGGCTAGCAGAGTTGATCTCGTATGTTTTTGAATTTTGTTTGATTATGTATTTTCTCCATTATTTAATACTTGTGACATGGAGGTGTGGCCTGTGGGGGTGGGGGGTGGGGACTTCGAAGGGTGGAGGCTCAAAGATTATGAAGTTCATGTGCTAAGGAGTGAGGAGATATGGAGTGATAAAAAAGAGCCCGTGTGATGAGGTGAGACATAGAGAGAACCTACTAGCAAAAAAAGGTGATGATGCATATTTTTTTAAAATTAGAAGTGTTACAATTATCAAAGAACAAAGGAACTATATCTAAGAGCTTTATGTTAAATTTCACATCTTGCCATAATACTTTGTAGTTGACCAGCTTGACCTCGTCCTACTCTTCATAAGTTTGGCTGAATTTGAAAAAAGTTCCTGAGATACTTGTAGTCTCGTACTATCTGCGGTGCTTGGAGAATAATTATCTCATCACCCTGTATACAAAGTACTTTGTTTGTGTGAATTTCTAAATCCCCCACTTAAACTACGTTTCATTTCTAAAAATATCCTAACCCACCATCTCACTCCTTTTAAAAACTGTATATACCTCATTCCTTATATGTGCCTATTTGCCAAACAAAATCATTCCTTATATGTGCCTATTTGCCAAACAAAATCAAGACCAAGAATTCTCCCTCGCTTCCCCTATGATCCTGATCCTCTTGGCACCTTTTTTATGAATTATCTTGAGGTCTAGCAGAATGGACCTTTGAAACAATGACATTAGAAATGTTGGGGACAGAGGGAGGGGGTATTCGGTTCTGTTTTGATTTTGTCAAAACAGGTTATTAATACTCCTTATATTTGTAAAGATGTCAGGAAAATGTGACTATTATCTGCAGTTTATATGATCATGAGATCTTGCTATGCCTGCTAAAAGTTTGACATTTACTATGTCTAACAAGACTGTCCATTTTGTTTGGTTGAAAATTTTATGTTATGCTTATTACCTTAAGAAGTTGACATTGAATTATGTCTAAGATGGTTATCTATATTCTCATATGATTATGTTCGCACATATCCTGTAATTACTGTTAAAAATGAAACTGATGGTTCCCATTTCACGTATGAGTTTGAAGACTTCGACATACTCCCATTATTGATATTTTAGGACAGATTGATCAGTTACATAATCCTTTTTGTCATGTGTGATTTTGTCTAATTAATTTAAATAGAAGGAAAAATACTAGATTAGAGTGAGTATA